GTCTACGACGACTACCTGGACGATCAGGTGGCGGACGAGGATGCGCACCACGAGATTGGGTTTGTCAATCTGGATTGGTGGGACGCCCTCGGGTGGGACCGCATCCTGCTACAAGGCGCGCCCACCACGGCCATGATCCCCGACAGCATGGCTGCCGCCGTTAGCCACGTGAAGGTGCGGCTGTGCCTAGCGATCGAGCAGGCCCGACAGGGCAGCGATGATCAGGCGTCGCGCACGCCGACGCGGCTGTGGAAGGTGTTCTTATCGTTGGATGGGCTGCTGTTCAGCGAGAACGCGACCCCGACCCCGACGACGCGACGAGAGCGTCTCCAGGAGCGTTTGCAGTGGATTCAGGACGGCCAATGGGATGTGGCCTGGCTCTCCATGGAGGACCAGACACGCACCTCGGTCACCGCGAAGGGCCGCGAAGACCACGTCGCGGCCCGCGTTTGCCGTGTCACCGAGCTCGCGCGAGCTGGCGAAATGTCTCGGGCGGCAGCGGCAGTGTGGCGCCAGGGTGGCATGGCGGATGCAGCGGCGGTGGTGAGGAAGTTCAGCACCACCCAGCAGCCTGCGGCGCCTCGCCCAGGCGAATGGGGCCCTCCCCCTGGCACTGGGGCCGCCCCGCATGGGCCTGGGGGGGGGGGCCCGCAGCGGCGGGAGCCGATGTGGCGATGCCGCCAGCCACGCCCCCTCACGAGCTCAACGCAGCGGCAGAGCTCCACCACCGTGTGGCCAACCACCTCAAGCGTCAGTTTGGCCGCTTCCCCCGCCGCGGCGGGGCGGGGCCAGGAGGAGGACGCTACGAGCACTGGGCCCCGCTCAAGCACGACGAAGACGGGGCGGAGGCGGTGGCCAACACGCTGGCGCGCCTGGCCATCGGCGACCTCCCTCCCGAGGCCCTAGCCGCCCTGACGGCGGCGCGCCTCGCAGGCATCCCCAAGGCAACCCCTGGGGACGTGCGAGTCCTGGGCTGTGGGAATGTCACCCGCCGCATGGTGGGCCGCAGCGCTGCCAAGGTCCACCACAAGGACATGCGGGCGGCGGTGGGGGGCCAACAGTTTGGCCTGGCCAAGGACGGATGTGGTGCCCTCCGCCGACGCCTCTGCACGATGGCCAACTCGAGCCCAGGCAAGTGGGTGGTGGCGGTGGACCTCGGGGATGCGTTCAGCAACATCCCCCGCGACCTCGTGATGGAGGCCGTGCGCTCCAAGGTGCCCGCTCTGGCGCCGCTGGCGGAGGCCTGGCTCCCTGCTCTCACACGCCATGTGGCGGGGGGTGGGTCCCAACCTGCCCAGCTGGTCGACCAGGTCCGTGGCCTCGACCAGGGCTGCCCGATGAGTCCAGGCTTTTACGCGGTCGGCACCGCGGATGTTCTCAGCATCGGTCGCATGGCCGTGCGCGCGGTGGACGTCGAGGGGGATTGCCGGGCGTTCTTGGACGACACGTACTTCGTGGGCACCGCGGCCGCTGTGTTCCGCGGCTTGGATGCCGGCCTGGCGAGCCCGCATCGAAGCCCTCTGGATGAAGCTAAAGATGTCCAAGACCCTGATCTGGTCCCCGGATCCCCACGCCGTCCTGCCGCCGGAGTTTGCGGAGTACGCCCAGTACCGCGTCCAGAAGCTCAAGGCGGTGGGGTCCACCCTGGCCTACGCAAACCACGACGTGGACGCCGACTGGAGGGGCGTCCCGCTCGCGGGCTTTGCCGTCCCGGAGGACCTCGACGAGGGCGGCCTCGCGCCGGCTGGCGGTGCCGGGGTCGCCCCGGGTGCCGCCGCGCCACTCCCCTGCGGCGAGGCCTTCCTCCAGAAGCAGGACCGCTACTTCCGAGAGCTCCTGACGCTCCGCACGCACGGGCTGTCTGCCTTTGACGCTTTCCAGCTGATGCGGATCTGGTCGAGGGGCGCCTGCGTCCACATCCAGCGGGCGCTTCCGCTCACGGCGGCGCGGGGCCGCAGGGTGGATGACGGAGTGGTCGCCTTCGTCAACGCCTTTCTGGGGGTCACGGCTGCCCCCCGAGAGCAGATCTTCATGAAGGTCAGCGACGGAGGGCTGGGCTGTGGCAGCGCCGAGCAGCGCGGTCCCGCTGCCCTCCTGGCGTCCTGGGAAGCCGGGATCCACGCGGCTGCCCAGGAGCTGCGCGAGACGACAACGATTGCTTTCTTTCGGCGGTGGCCGGGCCTCGGCCGTGCCCTCTCGGCAGCGGACGAGGAGCAGGGGCGGTTGGCAGGAGGCCGTCGCCCCCAGAGTGACCGTTGGCAGGGCCTCCTGGAAGGGCGGAGGGGCAAGGACCAGAAGACGCACACCCAGCACGTGCGGGACCACGCCACCAAGACGTTCTTGGCCGCGCTGCCGGCGACGGCGGCGGCGGCGGTGCATAGTGCCTCGGGCAGCTCAGCGGGCGCCTGGTTGGATAACTTCGAGGGGGTTTCGCCCCTCGCCGACCACGCGTTCTGCATTGCGGCCAAGAGGCGCATGCATCTGCCGCTGCTGCAGTCCGAGTGCACGTGCCAGAACAGACCGGCGGCGCCCACTCGCGCGGTGGCGCAGGCTGGCCCGGCGCGCGGTCGCACGGTGGACGTCCACGGCGTCCATGCGCTCAACTGCCCCCGGGGAGGTGGCTCGGTGCGCCGCCACAACGCCATCCGAGATGCCG